AAAGAAATAACGTTCTATCTAATGATTGATATTTTGCACTTAAATTAGGAGAGGCCACTTTACCTAATGGTGTATGGTTTGTAATTTTTTACCATCTAAATTATAACCTTAGAATCACTGTCTGAAAAGTAAATATTAATTAGAATAAAAAATGAAAAATGGATTATATAATTTTTTTAGAGATGCTGCGTGTCTCTTATGGAATCTAGAGTAATCATTATGAAACCTTTAGTAAATTAATTATTGTAAAAATTAACCCAAAATGACAATTGATTACTGTTAAACTCTGACTTAGTTTAATTACTTTGATGTTAGATCTGGAAACATCCTTATTAAAGAAATTTAAAATTAATATTCCTCACATTTTGGGTCTCGATGAGGTTTATTTTCTAAAAGAAAGCAGAAAGGAATTTTATTATTATTATTATTATTTGCTTTTAGCCGTTAGATTCAAAGCATGGAACTTTAATTTTCTTTATTCCTTTTTACTAAACGAAATCATTAACAATGATGTAATAATCAACCACAATAAGACCTTTGGCACCAACTACCTTTATTTAGTAGTAATTTTTTTTATAAAAATAAAAAATTATATTTTGTATAACTCAAGATTAAAGAAAAAAAAACAAAAACCTTTGGCGCAGTTCAAAGGTCGAGTGGTTATAATTATAAATTCCATCTAGTCTTCTTTTGTGTGTGTTTAGCAAGCGGCCATTTAGCATTGGGTCTAGTTCAATAGGTTTGATTGATCAATTAAAAGTTTATTTTTTAATTATATTATATATATTTTTTATTAAACATTAATATTATTTTATTATGAAGATATAACCTTTTTAAAAATGATTTTGATATTAATGGGGTTGAGTCGCTGGTTTGATTGAGGTTTATGGGGTTGATTGATGAATCTTCAAAACGAATTAGAACATTTATCCATTCATTCCTATAACTGAATTTGATCCAATCAGTTGAATTAGTCAAGTTGGGTTGAGTTTTAAAATAATGATAAATGCCAATAATATAGTTAAAATGTCATATACAATTATAAATTTATAATTATAATTTGTTACTAAATAAGTGAACATATATAGTATTATTTGTAATTTTTTAATAAAAATTTAATAATATTATTTCCTCAAAAATCCTCTAGTGGCCTCGCACGTGTGAAATCTAGATGCGGGCATGCCACTTACTTTGCTGAAAGTAAGAAAGGAGGACCTTCCCAACGACCCTCTCCTTCCTCACGGTCGACCTCTTTGCGGATGGCGGGAAGAACGTTGGATTAAAATGTAATTTGCGCCTTAAGACGATTTGCAAGAGGGAGGGACACTTTCCTGCAGAATGGGTTACGAAATCTGCCTTGGACAACTCCAAGGACTTAAACACTACCGTGACTTAAAATTATCAAATCCTAATTATTTTAAATTACCTGCAATTTAAAATAAACTTGCGAGAAAGAAATGTACTTAAACTAAA